ATGTAGACACACACACACAGACAGACAAACGCCCACCTCACGCTTCTCACCTCCTTAGATGCGCCAGCTTCCCAGTCTGAACCGACCGCCATATGGAAGCTGAAAATACACCCCTAAACCCAAAGTCTGAAGTCCAAGCCTCCGCAGCACCCTGAAGCTAAGAAGCTGACGAACCCATAGCACGAAGAGAAACAATCTGGCAATGACCGACGGCCTCTGCCAGCAATTGTCAAAACTAAACCCCGAGCAGAATCGAAGAGACAGAAAATCGCAGGCAACAGTGGCAGAAGTCGCCGCATCAGATATCCACATCGTGGCACACCCGGGCAGAACCAACAACCCTAGCACACTCAAGACTCTAAGTACTGAATATTGATCCCCAAAACCAATTAAAAGCCTAAGCCCTAAGACCCGAAACATTAAACAAACCCCAACAAATCTGCAGAAAGCCCCTGAAACTCGCAGCGCGGGCCTCTTACGCACCCCAGGGCCGAGGAAACCTGCCAGCACGTGAAGACGAAGCCAAATCGCAACAACAAAGAGAGACCAATAACAATCATGATAGTAGTAACAAAAAGAAAAAAGACCGGCAATAAGAATAGAAAGAATGACAGTACTAATACTAGACAACAATCGAAATAATCACAATGAAAACAAAAACACTAATAATCATGGAAATAATAACGACGATAACGAACATAATGATAGTAGTAGCAATAATAGCATTGGCATTTTGACTGAACCAATAAGAACAACAGTAATAAGTCCCTGCCCCCCCCTGCACCCCACCCTCCCGCCGCCATCCGATGGTTTAGGGCTTAGGGCTTAAGTGCAAGTACTGACCGTTTCCCACAGAGCCTAACTACTTGGGGATGTTTTGTGGTTTCTTAAGTCCTTAGACAGTTCAGCCTGGAGCAGGGTCTTGGGGGTATAGTCGAGTATAACCAAAATGAGGAATCCAAAGGAGCAGGAGTTACTGGTAACTGCTCTGGCTTCTGTACCAGATGGGGCTCCGGCAATAAACTGTACTCCTCAGAGATACGGGAAAATCAGAGAATAGGAGCACCCCAAACCCCGAGACCCTCGACTGGCCTGGAAGTCGCTACTGGCCCCGGTGCGGCTGGCCTGACATGCTACAGAAGAAGGATCATTCGCTGCTTGATAGATATGGGTAGTTCTCTAAATTAGGGTTCCTTTTTGGGTCCATAGTACGGCACTCTCATAAAGGACACTAATTTAGAAAACTACCCATATGGAAGTTACCAGCTTCTCCAAACCGTTGCGTCTCCCTTTCGGCTGCCGTGTGTTGGACTAAAGAACCCAAGTCTTTGGATGTAGGGATGATAAAGTTCAAGGATCCACGATCTGTGCATCTTATCTAAACCCGAAACCCCAAGGAGTCCGAGCACATCTGGTCAGGAGCGTGCAGTAATTGACCTCCATTTATAGTTTTTACGGATTCCTCCACGAAGCCTGACGAACGAGTGACACTTTTCAACGCCGGCACTTGCAAAGACATTGGGAAGGGTCCTTCCATCGCAGACATGAGATTACAGAACAAAAAGAACTGTTCCAGTTTTTTGCGTGTCTGGTCAAGTCTAATGCACCGATGCCACATTCGCGAAAAGGAATCCGAAATATATTGGGAGAGGACTGTAGATGTTGGCAGGCGCCGAATCCGAAGTCGCCGAAGCCAACCAACGCACAGCAATGCCAGGCAACGCAACGATGTACACTACAGCGAAAGACATGTTCAAGTGGTCTGAGGCCCTGAGGCTATGCAAAATACCTCGACCACGGTTAAATCATGCACATGAACAAGGTGCTCGGCCACAACTACGTAGCCGTGACATCTGATAAGTCTGCCTGATCAGATCTTGAAACACCAGGAAACGAAAGGGCATCAAAAGAAGAGACTGAGTCGGCTTCTAGATCCAAGCACATTGGTACAAATTGGTGTGGTCAGTGCGACCTCACCAGATGCAGATTCGACGTCATACAAAGCAAAGAGTAGTGAAGCCCCCCCCCCCCCCGAGTGTGTCACAGCAAGAGCGCAGCCTCGATGAGCTCTGGCTATCAAAACGGAAGGCCAACTGAGAGCCAGTTGGCCTCAGAGTCCCCCGGGTGCACGCGTACTTGCGACTTGATAGAACCGGTCCCGAAATCGCCAAAGAAAGGCTTCGCGACGTGACTCAACCGTCATCTGGAAGGCCGGTGGGTTCTTCGCCACACGAATGAGGTATTGGTCGGGCTGACGAACACAGAGCTGGTGTGTAATGCCGTCTGGTGGCTGGACGTCCTTGGGTGGTTCTGGTAATTCTTAGGCAAGTAGCACACCTTCTGACTGTGGCAGTTTCCGCTGCACCCCATGGCTGCAACAGCTATGCTGCTTGGCCAAAATCTCTCACTGAACTGCTCGTCCATTTCGCTCGCGTGCAAACCCCTGGCAAGTCCGTCAGTGTAGCTAGTTTAAGTCTACAACCTCGAAGTCCTTAAACCCAATCATGAGGCTAATCCCAACAACCCTGAAGCACATCCGGAAAACACTCCAGCAGAATGCCACCAATGACTCTTGTGCAAACTTCCGTGGATGCTGAGAAAATAGAAACGCTCCTGGACTGAAATGATCCAGGGCATCCAAATCGGATTCCTTTCAATAAAAGGCTATGCAATTATGCATAATGCACCGCGGCTTGTGAACTTTGATGCCTACGCCGCATACCCTGATTTGGACCAAGATCCCAAGCTGCATAAAATAACATGCATGACCATGAGTATATGTGAGTATCTTTTTGAGGAATGTTTGAGGGAGTAGGGTGGGGAAGTCGAGAAGACATGGAAGCAATCCTGGCAGGGCTTGGTTTTCGTAGGAGCTGTTGCAGCTGTCTCTCATGTACAGAGTATGTCCAGATTTGACCTCGAGTCTGGACCGGAGCCTAACCCCTACTAAGGCCCAAAACTCGAAAGCTTAAACCCCGCACCCTCCTTGTCGCTAGCCGCTTTACCCCGGGCCCGAGGTCGCAGCATGTTCTGCGGTGCAGTGATGTCCCTCAGAAGCTTTTGCTGAATCTAGGGCTAGAGTAGAGGCACGGGATTTAAGCTTCAGGTGAAATCCCACCAGGGGATTCTAACATTCCAGCAGAGTGTTGCTGCCGTGGTGCCAACGCTACTGCTACTGCTACCGCTGAGAGTACTGCGACTCCTACTGCTACTACTAGTCACAATAGTCGCACCAGTACCAATTCCACGGCGTCGACGACTGCTACTACCACTACTACTACCACTGCCCCTGCTATGGCCAGTATGGTACTACGACCACCACGACCGATGCTACTGCTGTTGCTGCTACTGCTACACTGCTGTCAAGTTTGTTACGATTACCGCCACGTTCCTGTCACCATTGCCAATGCCATTTACACTTTCATTACGTGCTGCGACCATTTGCGATACAATAGCTGGCACTACGGTGCTGAAGCCATCCAACGTCTCCCTCTTCGTCTTGCTCTTGCTGCAGCAATAGTCGTCATGTTTTTGTCAGCTCTGTGCTGCCAGGAAGCTGCTTGCATATCGGACACTCTGGGTTGCGGCTGAGCCATTGGTCAATGCAGCGTTGGTGGTACCTCGCCAGGGCTCTTGGGCTTGAGGTATCGGACTGCTGTTTAGGAAGTGCTGTGTTCAACGACTCTTATTTAGGAACCCAAACTGGCATCACGTGGTTGGGAAATCAACAGAAAAACTACAAGGTTGGGAGATGCCATAACCGTTTGCCATAACCGTCTCTGAAGTTATCCAACAAATTTTGGACATCGCACCCAAAAGCTCATGTTTGGGTGGCCGCTGGGTTTCGCGTACTTACTTTGTCCTGAAGGATATGCCGTCACGGACGAAAACCTAAAACTGCCGAAGCTAAGCCCAGCCCTAGATCCTAAGGCCTTACACACCCGTAAAGGAACAGGCGCAAGAGCAAAATGCATCTGCTTCTGAAGCTCGTGTTGAAACTTGAAACTCTATGCAGCATTCATTGTTCATTCTCGTCACATCAAAGGTGATGGCAAAGTCCATATTCGGGCTGAGCCCCTGAGCTTTAAACGCCAGAGGACTTCAGAACACTTCAGAATTCAGGTTAATCTGCCTGCGCTGTTTTGCTTTTACGGCTGCATGGTCAAACATCACCAAAAGTCCCGTGCTGCCCACCGTCGCTAGCTTCATCCTCATACAGCCACTCCTAAACTCTCCGCACGGACAACACCGAGGATGTTGCCGGTGCAGGCATGGTAAGCTCCGCCTTGTTTGTGAGGCAAAACATCTGCGTGAGAAGACGCATAACGGCAAACTTGGACTACAGCGGCAAGAACTATGCGTATGGGATCTACAAAGAGCAGAAAGCGCTGCAACAGCAAAAAGCGATGGAAAACATGAGCCCCAACATGCTCACTTACCGACATTCCGTCACCAGCAGCAACAAGAATCATCTTCAACGGACACCGAAAAGTTCACGATCACTCATAAACTCCAAGCATCACCATCGCCATCATCAGCTTTTCTGCATGGTCTTCTTCTGCCTCCTCATCCTCAACGCAGCCTTCATCTGTGCGATCCTGATGCTGCATCATCCTCAGAATCAAGACTATCGACAGACCCTTCCGTCGCGTCGCCACCACGAACGCGAATCATCGCAGCAACAATGTCAGCTTCTAGAACAGCATCATGGTGCACGCGTGACTATCATCACCATCGTCACAGTAGCAATAATAACTGTCAGCCTACTGATGCATCATCGTCATCACCAGCATCACCATCGCCATGAACATGCCCAACACCAACAGCAACATGATTCACCGTTGTCGTCTCCATCCTCCATGCCTTCATCACTGTCACACTACGGCAAAACATGGTATCGACCCGAACATTGCAGCAGCATCATAATTGGCATCGTTTAGGTCACCGAAACGGCGAAAAGTGAACCCATCCCATCGCCGTCGTCATGATCATCATCAGAAGCATCACAAGTCCATCATCATAAGCCTTTCGTCGTTGCCTTTGCAGACTGTCAGCATCGCAGTAAATGAGATGCACCAAAACTGCCGTCGTACTTGCTGGGGCTGCGATGGAAGACGCGGCACCGTGGCACGCAAATCTAGCCTGCAACTGCGCAAAGACAATGCTGGGCCATCGGCAAAGCTTCGCCGTCCCGGAACTCCTCCATGCAAACCTAGACGACAGCGACGTGGAGTTCAAAGATGTTTCAATCTTTGCAGGCATCCGCAGGGTCTGGGTGACAAAGGTTGGAGGTTGCAGGCCTTGGGGATTTAGAAGGGCTTTGTGTAATTTTGGCTTGGACGTGCAGGTTGGGCCAATCTGGGTCGCTAGCCGCTAGCTACTCATCAACACTCGAAATAGTCGCAATCATTGTATTCTCCAGTCGTCCGCCCCACGGCCCAGAACGTTGGGTCTCTTGCCCAAGACACAACAGCCTTGTTGTTGCTGCACCGAAGCTAACGTAATCTTGCGGGCGTACGGCTTGACGTTACGAGGAATCGCACTGCTGGCTTGAGCATGGTATTGCGACTTTAAACAAAACCATTGCCAGCTCTCACTCCCATTACGAACACAAATCGTCTTGAGCTTCGTGGTCTCGGCACCGAGAAAGCTGGCTAGACCACAAAAGCCTAAGCCCTGGAACCTTCAACTCCACTCAAAACCGGGCAAGCTCAAAACACAGACTTGAACCCTCAATGACTCAACTCTACACTGTAGACAAACCATAAGACCATCGACAGCGTTCCAGCGCCCGGCCATGCATTTCAAGTGCTCATCGTTCCCTCCCTGGCAGGCTTTAAGGTCTTTATAGCTTCGAAGAGTAAGACTGTAAAGCACCTTTGAGGTGCAATGAAAAGACCTCACTCGGAATCGTCCGGTTTTTCCTAGCAGTTGCAGCTTGGGGAATCCCGCTATTGCATGGGGTTGAGGGTTTAGGGATGGTGCTTTGGTGCCCTGAAAACGCTCAAAACCCACCAGAGAAGGCGGGAAAGCATTGTCGTGCTCTCTAACTGTTTGGCGATCTACGTTGGCCTAAGAGGTGTCTTGCGGTCTGCCCTAATAGCATTTGTTGGCGCTGTGCCAGTGGCCCGGAAAGCTCAAACTCACGACAATGCTAACGCCCAGTGGCCCACAAAGACCATGAAACTCTAGGACCCAAGGAGTCGTTCAAGAAGCCCATCTCATCGCAAAACATCTGTTCGGGTTCAGCGCCAAGGGTGTGGGCTTTGGGATCCCTCCTACAAGTCACAGACCCGGTAACCTCCTCGGTATGTGTCCCCCGAACCCTTAGTCCGCCTCTGTTTCCGGGATAAACAGAGAAGGTACCCCTGCAATCGTGATGAATGTCTTGCGGTTGGCCTTGTATTTCCCAAATGGGACCTTCAGGAAAGAGCTCGAAGCACTCCGACCCAACAAGTGTGCTGGAGGAGTACCCGCCCACTTGTGCTGCTCGCCCCGTGGAAGGTATGGCCTGGGTTACATGGGAGGCCCTTGTTCTTTGAAGAGGAGTCACGCACCTTCTTGGAGACCCCTGAAGAGAACCTGTTTAGAAGGTTACACTAAGATGGTCCTTGTCTGGATCAGGATGTTTTCTGTTTGTGGCCTCTTGAACAACTTCACAGAATGGGGAAGGTGTTACCAAGAGCTTCAGGGTGGGTAGGTCAGGGGCTTAGGGCCAAGGGCTTGTGCTGTGCGAACTAGGGTTTCGGTGGAATTCAAGCCGTTTTCATCTGAGAAAATAACGCAGATTGAAAGATAGATTATCCAAACTTTGAGGTATGCGAGGCTGCTGCAGGGTGATTCTTGGAGCTTCGGAGTTTGGATTCCCTCCCACCCGTTTCAGCAATCGACCAATGGTGTGCCCTTCGATGACCTCGTGGTCCACGCCTGGCTCTTCGTCGAATACAAGTGTTTTTACATTTTACGGTTTTGGGCTTAGTTGAGAGTGTCCAGACGCCTCTTGGCGCAGGGTGCCGCTCTGCTGCCACTTGTGCTGACTGCTGGTGATTGGGGTGCGGTTGCTGCGGCTAATGCCACGACGACGACTAAATGACGACAGAAGCCATGTTCACTGACAGCTAGTCAGATTACTAGCATTGACCAAGTCCGACTCCTCTACTCCTACTGCTACTCTCACTCCTCCTCCACCACCACCTCCTCCTCCCTCTACAACAACAACAACAACTACT